ACACATAACTGAGACTGCGCCTTTTAGTACGGTGCGCCTTATGGTCGTGAAAATACGGTAAAACAAATTTGAATATGTTTGACTTCCTGTCCAGAAAGCTTTTTCAACAAAGAAACAACCAAACAACCCCCATTCCAAAGGCCCAGACCCGTTCGTCCAGTTCAGTTTGCATGTGTTTTGCATGTTTTCTAATATTGAACAAGGCTTTGTTTTGGTCCACTCTATAAAGCCTCAAAGTCAATGCTATTTCTGACATTTTGAATTAAAAAAGTTTCCTGGATGGGAAGCGAAAACTCTTTAAACTTAGGAACAAAGTGCAGTGGATTGTTTTTTTTAAGTGTTGTTTATTTTTACTTATTTGGAATGACTATGAACTGGATGACTTAGAATCTTCACCAGCATATATACTTGCTTACACTGCAAAAAATAGAAATCCAAGTCAATTTTTCTGAAAACAAGTGCTTTTCTCTTGAATTGAACAGATAAGTGAGACAGTTTGCCAATGGAATAAGAGAATTTAGATTTACAATAAGAAAAAAGAACTTCTTATTCTTATTCTAATTATCCTATTTTAAGGGTAAAAAAATACTAATTCCAATTTATCTACTGAAATTAAGGTTAAATACTCTTATTTTAAGAAATGTTGACTAATTTTTAGATGATTTTTGCAGTGTAGGGCTGCGCTTGGCAAGCTGGGGGAGGCTTGTTTTTTTCAATATTTATGCATATTATGTGTATCTTGGATTCTCCCTATAGGGTTCCAAAAACTACATTTCATTCTGCATTCTTTGCAACTGTTGCTATTTTCATAGACAGTGGTTCTTTTCTTACCCCCCTGAGGAAAAAAGAAACTGATTGGAAATTAAATGTACAAAAGATAGAGGCAAGAGACCACAACAATATAACCCGTACCCTGTTTCAAAGCTGTTTTACCTCAAAAACAATCTGGGAGATCAGTGTAATTGATCCATATGAGCATGTGGACTGGACAAAATATTTATTATTAGCTTGCCATAGAAGTGTACAAATGGAAAGAAAGTCAAATCTGGTGATCCTCTCTGCAGACTTAATATTTGTCTTTCATGGAGTGAGACTTATTTCTCTCAGTCCATGAATATTCTTTTTTTTTTTTTTTTTTTTTACCTCCACAGGTAACGCTACCTTAATCTCCCTACAAGCCTAGCTTTTTTTTTTTTTTTTTTTTACCCAGCAACATGATTTTCTCTGAAGGTGCAGGTTTCTTCTGGCAGCTCTTTATCAAAACAAGCATCACTCAGTGTAAGTTTGAAAAAGTCTATGATTTTTATATATTTCAGCACTTTTGCCCCAAAGCCCAGTGAAAATAGGCTGATAAAGACTGTATTATTATTAGTTTTTTTAGGTAATGCCCAAGACAACCTAAGCAATACCTCAGATGAGAGCAAAAAACTCCTTGATTTTAAAAGTGAGGGCTCTCTGGATGGGTGAGTCTCATTTTAACCTGTGTTAATGAAAAGACTTGTCTTAACATCTTATCAGCACATGAAACATGAACTTTTCTCTTTAATTAAAGCCAAACCTCAAATTTAGAGGCAGAGAGTCAAACTTCAGCCTCCAGCTATGGCAGCCTAGGTGAGTCTGGCACATGTTAATTTCAACAACAAAACCAAGAATTAGATTTCTTGTTTTTAGCCAAAATGCCTAGTGAAAGTAGTCTGATAAATATTGTGTTTTCTTTTTTTTTTTTAGGCAATGCCAAAGACAACCTAAGCGATACATCTCATTGCAGCACAGATCTCCCCCCTAATTTTAGAAGTGAGGGATCTTTGGATGGGTTAGTCTCATTTTAACCTGTGCTATTAAATGAAGATGAAGACAACAATAACCACAATTCTGTCAGCAGTCTATCCATCCATTTTTCATCACGCTTATCCCTGTCTCGAGGGGTGCTGGTTCCTATCTTCAGCTGTCAATGGGCAAGAGTTGGGGTACACCCTAGACAGGTCGCCAGTCTATTGCAGGGCAACATAGAGATAAACAGGACAAACAGCCATTAACTCACGCACACCTAAGGACAATTTAGAGAAGCCAGCTAACATAACAGTCATGTTTTAGGACTGTGGGATGCAAACTCCATTCATAAAGACTCAGGAATTAAACCCAGAACCTTCTTGCTGCTGTCAGCAGAGTCTTCTCTTCATTTTAAGAGAGAGAACCCTCTGAAAAACACACCTTTCTAGACCAGATGAAGCAGGGTAATATTTGATGCAGGAAGTAAAGGAAATACAGTGATCTAACTATTCTGTTGTTGATTTGTGTGCATTTAGGTCTAAAATACCCAGTGAGAAGCAGGGTCGGTCTAGAACTGTGTTGAAATGCCTGAACACTCCTGGAGACGATGACAGCTGCAGCTTATACAGCAATGACTACCCCGACTATGGAAAGAAGGTTCCTCTGGATGGGTGAGGCTCATTTTGACATGTTCCAACAAACACAGGAAAAATATAAATAAAATGTTGGTTAAACACAATTTACACAAAATCCTGTGTCCTCTATTAAAGGCCATACTCCGATTTAGATGCAGAGAGTCAAAACGTTCTGACTGAACCAAACCCAAACAAGAAGAAATATGAAACTGAATATGTAAGTTAAGGTGGATTCACTTTTATTCCACCAGTTAAAGCTTTTTCCATTTTTTTTAACTTAAATTTTTTTTCTCCTCAGCACCAGGGCCATGTCTCCTTTTGGATGTCAGTCTTCAACCTGGCCAGCGTCTTGACTGGCATGGGCATTCTGGCTGTGTCCTTTGCCATGGCCAACACCGGCATCGCCCTGTTTGTGTAAGCACATATATTTTCAAGTATTTAAAACCCTCGTTGTGATCACAACTCTACATTCTACCAATGGGGAGTCCAAACACATGTATTATCAAACCCACAAGTCCCGATGTGCCCAATATCTTCAAGGTATACAGAACACTGTTCAGTTGATATAGTTTAAAACAGACGATATACTTAAAATCCACAGAAAAAAAACATTACTTATTGGAAAACAATACTCAAAGAAAGTGTACGATAAATTAGAAAGAAAAAAACCCCGCAGGATGCAGGTTGATTTATTTACCAGTTGCTGGATCCCCCTAATAGAAAGACAGTTATTCTGTATTATATTTAGGCCAAAAATAGTTAGGTCTTTGGGTTACAGAAAAAGTGATTTTTCAGTGAGGAGGGTGTTGGAGGAGGGTTGAAATCATATCCCCTTTGGCTGGTCATTGTATTGCTTGGTATCAAAAAAAAAAAAAAAAACTTGCTAATGACTAGAAATACTAATATTGTCATCTTTTTGATAAATTCTCTTGTGTTTACAGGATTCTCCTGGCGTCTCATGCCATTTTCTCCTTGTATTCTGTCCACCTATTGTTAAAAACAGCCATAGAAGGAGGTGAGCCGCAGTGCAACTTTAAAGCAGCTTTTTATGTTTGATCACATTAAGTTGTCAGATGTAAAACCTTTGGTATTTTTCTCTTTTCCAAGGTGCCCGTGTTTATGAGGAGCTGGGTTACAAAGCCTTTGGGATGCCAGGAAAACTTGCAGCTTCCTGCTCCATCAACATGCAGAACATTGGAGGTAAGAGACTGACATTTAAGTGGAAATATATTTTTTATTAAAAATATACTCTGCAGCAGAGATGTAACTGCTCTGTACATTCATCAATAATGAGGTGCTTTTCAGCTAAAATACACAGTTGAATGAAAACTGAGAACAGAATTTCTTGTAGATCATAGAGATATTTCCAACAGACTGCCTCTTCTTTTAGCATTGGAACGCCATGCAGCTGGACACCCTAAAAAGAGCATTGCTTCTTTTTTGATAAAGTTACTGATTGCTTTCATTTTATTTGTTTTGTTTTACAGCTATGTCAGGCTACCTCGTTATTATAAAGTATGAACTCCTTTTTTTCATTCAGACTTTTACTGGAGCAAATAATGGGTGAGTGGCTAAACTTTTGGATCTATTTATACCAACATTTCATACCAGTATTTTGAAGATGCAAATAAATAATTTTAAAAGTATTTACTTGGGTTCCTTGAGTTTTTTGTTGATTAAATAAATTGTGGTTATTTTGTTGTAAACATGTTAAGTTTTTTCTAGTATAAGAAGTCAAGTACTGGGAAATAATATAACTCATGTGTTGGAGAAGCGGTTATAAAACATGTGGCTCAGCTCCTCTGAGCTACTTTATTGTGGATGCTGCTCTATATCTGAGAGAGGTGCAGTTTACATTGTGCAGGACAGTTTATGGCAGTGTTTGTGATGTTTGTTATCACTGCACCAGGTAAATTGTAAACAGTGATGAGGCCCTTAAGAGGAGACCAGTTCACTCTAAGCATGACACACAGCAGGAATTTTATAAGAACAAACATGAATAATCAGGAAATCCTTTAAATTGTTGAAAGGGGAAGACGGAATCAAAAAACAGCATAATCGTCCTGTGAACCAGCTAACTAATTTAGATCTGTGATCTGTGATTATTACTAATGTTATTTCTTTGTGTATTTCAGTGAATGGTACATTAATGGAGATTACCTTGTTCTGCTGGTTTCGGTTATTATTATCCTGCCCCTCTCTCTGCCTAAGAACTTGGGTAAGGAGGGTGTGAGTCATAAAATGAATTTCTTAGGTAATAATAGTAATGGTTAAAGTAGCAGAAACTTTTATTCTTTTCTTTCTCCCTTAGATTGTCTTCGTTACACCAGTGGTCTGCCTCTTCTCTGCATGGTGTTCTTCCTGATTGTTGTGAGTATGGCCACAATTTGTTTCGTTATTCCACCTGTAGCCCTTAGATTTAATAAATCACTCCACTAAAACATTCATCTTGTATATTAAGTACCGTATTTTCACGACCATAAGGCGCACCGTACTAAAAGGCGCACTCTCAGT